TGTTATTAAAAAATAAAAAAGCTTTATAAATCAACTAATTTGCTTTAAAGTTAACAAAATTAAAAATTTGAACATTGCAAATCAATTCATTTTTCTTTTAAATTTATACTGTGTTTTTACTTAATTACTTAAATTTGAAAAATTTGATCAATTTGATCAATAAATAATTGGTTATTCAGAATCCATCGAATACTAGTATTTTTTAGTTTATATTTCAAATAAAAAATGATGTTCACCATTTTTAATCCAAATCTTTCAAAATCATAATAATTATGAAATAAGTGATTATTATAAAAATAAATAAAAATGTTTTTATTCTAATAAAAATTCAAGATCTTCCTTTAGGAATTTAGGGAATGAATCTGATGATCAGATGTTATGATTGATAAGATAATAAATCACAAATTAGAATAAATAAATAAGTACAATTTTGAGTTAAAGAACATTTTATTAGAAAATTTAAATATATAGATATCCATATGATAATTAATAAGATATAATTTACCAAATATTTCTAATGATTTGTAATTTCAGAATAAAATAGTATTTATTATTGAGAACCATTTTGTTTACTAAACTTACTCTAAATATAAATAATAATAGTAATTAAAATTACTTAATGGCATATTAATATATTTTTTATTTGGAATTTATAAGTATTTTTTATAATTCCTTCAATTTTTACAATTTTTACAATTTTTAAAGAACTATTATAAATAATTGCATTTAAAATTATGCTTCTCCATTAATATTCGATATATAAAATCTAGTTAAATTATAAAATTGTAAATGATGAGCTTTCAATATACATAAAAAAAGGAGGTGATTAATCAATAGTGTAAAAGATTTCTTAAACTAGTACTCATTTAGTATTTAGATATGCATGTAAATAATAGGCATATTATAATACTATATTCATAATTTGCATAATGATTTAGATTGATTAGATGATATATGACAATTAATATTAATATAAAATTCATTAAGCAATTCTTTGAAGATCTTAAAAAAAGAATTATTATTAAGATTTCACTTAAAACATAATACAATGTATAGAATTCAATTTCTGATATTGTACAAACTTAAATTCTTATCCTTCTTAAAAATTTTTTGCATAAATAATAGAACTTACTATTTCTGATTATTATGTCTAAGAATATTTAAGAAAATTATACAACTTTCAAAATTAATGAGTTGAGTAGAGTTAAATAATACATTAGTTGAAGTAATTATATTTATTAATTTTAGAAAAAATAGGTACAAAATCCTTTAAATTAATAATATAGTATATACGATAACATGTCTACTAAATAGGTTTCAATTATATTGTCAAATTATTGATTTGATGCCTACATGAATATTTGATATATGTAACAAAAAACACTTGACTTTAAAGAATCTGCAATGTCTACTTTTTTTGGTGTAATGAAAACAATATTTAACAAGCTTTAGAGAAATTACTTTAGGGTAATTCAAAAATAATAGAATCATAATTATTTTTAGAAACGAGATAATCAGGAGATTTAAGTTTAAATAAATGATAGCTATTATTTAATTAGGAATCATAGCTATAGTATAACAGTTTAAACTATAAAAATTATGATCTTGTGGTTGAGTAATTTAATAAAATATTAAAATGATTTCCTTAAGACCTAATGTAATTTTTATTTATAAAATGATTTTATTTAATTATGAATACAAATTTATGATATTTCAATGTATTTACACTTGCAATTTTGGAATGATGCAATGATTTTAATTTCCTATCTTATGTTCTGAATTGATAGTACCATAACTTAAGGATTTACAATTTATATACTCTTCATTATTTCTTTAAACTAATAATTCATCTGCTTCTTGCTTGTTTATAAGTTTGATTTATCTAGAACTTAATAAATCAATTTTATTTATAGAATCCTTTAAACATTCTATTTTTTATGTAAATTATAGAGGATGTATTAATATTTGTCTCACATCCAAATATTTATTAATTAAATTGGATTATTTTTGAAAAAATTCTCTTTAAGTCGAAGAAGTTATTAGGTTTGTTAAACTAATATCTTTCAGTTAAGAATTTTTCAATAGAGCATCCTTACTATTGCCCTCATTTTGATGTTTTATAAAAAATTTTATCAAAAAAAGTTTATAGAGTGTTGATTATATTGGTAAAAGTAAAAAATCTAATAAAGCCCTTATAATTGTAAACAAACCACCTAACTTAGCAACTACATCCATTAAGGTTTAATATGTGATAAAACAAACTTTTTTCTTAGCATCTAAATGTACTTCAATTCTTGCTAATGTATTGGCATCTTAGAAATAAAGTACACTATCTATCACTGTTTTTTAGTATTCAACCCCTTCATGATAAACTTACTTAGGGAAAAAATAGAAGGGATTATATTCAAGGAAACTTTAAGAGTATTGAAAATAAATTTTAATGTATTTCCCAACTTTGTAATAAAGTGAAGTTAAATCAATATTTTCAGTTTTCTAATATGGTGAATCATCTGATTCCTTATTGAGTTGATGGAAGGAATAGGAATAATAAAGATTGGAATTTGCTGTNTTATATTTATTAATTTTAGAAATAATGAAAACAAAATCCTGTAAATTAGAAGTATAGCATATACGATAACATATCTACTAATAGTTTTCAATTATATTGACAAAAAATTGATACGATGCCTAGATGAATATCTGTTACAAGTAACAAAATATACTTGACTTAGTAATATCTTAGTTTGCAATATCTATTTCTTTTTTTGTGAAATGAAACAAAATTTAACAAGTTTTAGAGACATTACTTTTGGGAATAGAATCATCATTATAATTTAGTGTTTTGATTTAGTTAAATTATATGCTATTACATTTCTCCTTTTGATAGAAAGAGATTTAAACTAAAATAAATCATAGCTACTATTTTATATGGAAACATAGCTATAGTATAACATTTTAAATAATAATAATTAAGATTTTGTGATTGAGTAATTTAAGAAAATAATAAAATGATTTTCTTAAAAGCCTTCATGTATTTTTAATTTATAAAATGAATTTATTTAATTATGAATACAAATTTATGATGTTCAATGTGTTTTCACTTACAATTTAGGAATGATGTAATGATTTTAATTCCCTATCTTATGTTCTGAATTGATAGTACCATAACTTAAGGATTTACTATTAATAAATTCTTCATTATTTTTTTAAACTAATAATTCATCTGGCTCTTACTTGCTTATAAGTCTTATCTATCTAGAACTTAATATATCAATTTTATTAATAGAATCCTTTAATCCTTCTATTTTTTATGTAAATTAAAGAGGATGTATTAATATTTATCTCACATCCAAATATTTATTGATTAAATTAGATTATTATTGAAAAAATTATCTTGAATTCGAAGAAGTTATAAGGTTTGTAATACAAATATCTTTCAATTAAGTATTTTTCAATAGAGCATCCTTATTATTTCCATTGTTTTGATGTTTTATAAAAAATTTTATCAAAAAAAGTTTATAAAGAGTTGATTAGATAGGAAAAAGTAAAATATCCAATAGAGCCCTAATAATAGTAAACAATCCACCTAATTTAGCAATTACATCCATTAAGGTTTAATAAGTAATAAAACAAACTCTTTTCTTAGCATCTAGATGTACTTCAATTCTTGCTAATGTATTTGCATCTTAGAAATTAAGTACACTATCAATTACTGTTTTTTAGTATTCAACCCCTTCATGATAAACTTACTAAGGGAAAAAATAGAAGGGATTGTATTCTAGGAAACTCTAAGAGTATTGAAAATAAATTTTAATGTATTTCCCAACTTTTTAATAAAGTGAAGTTAGATCAATATTTTCAGTTTTTTAATATGGTGAATTATCTGATTCCTTATTAAGTTAATGGAAGGAATAAGAGTAATATAGATTAGAATTAGCTGTATACATATCAATTTCTTCTTTTGACGCACAATCTAGAATATTAATACATTATACTATTCATATTGGTATTATTATAACATCTTTCAATTAATGCTCCCAATAATGTAAAATTATCATATCGATTTGATCCTTATATTCTTATTTAAGGATTCTCTTTAATATATTCATCACTCATACAATAAGTAATATTTTCATATGCCTCTGGTATATTTAATTTCTAAGCTAATAATTCTTTTATTGTTACTTTTGAAGCTTCCCGAATTCTTTTACCACAAATTGTTCCTGGTATTACAATACATTCCGTATCATTTAATGATTTATTGCATACATAAAATCCAATTTAAAATACTCTGTTCCCCTCATTTGGAATAGGTTGACCCAGAATATCAAGCAATCCTGCTGAAAATATCAGTTCAGTGGAATTGAAGCTGAAACCCTAATTAACTTAATAGTCAAAAAATTACTTCATTATTTTGAATGACAGCATCTTAAGAGTTTAATATTGCATTTTTCCCTTTGTTCATTTCCAGAATAAATAAGCTACCTGAATATATAAGTATAGTAAATAGTAATAAAGTCATAAATGCTCCAATTTGAGTCTAATATAGTGACTAACCTGAGGCTTTTAGTCTAATTTATTATCCAAAAATATCAAATCTTCTAAATGTTCTAGAAATCTACATCATCATTCTATAAGAAAATTAATTTTTTATTAATAATTTGCTTAATATTTTGTTAGTGTTAAATATTAAATTTGCTAGTATTCATAACTGACATAAATTGCTGGAATTTAAATATATATATCAGATTTAATATAATAACAAATTTTATATAAATGAAATGAAATACTTTGGCTTTAATTTATAACCTAAGGAACATTGAATTAATAAAATAAAATATTTAATTTAATAATTTACAATTAATTAAAATTTATGAATAAATTAGAGATTATTTTATTAAGGATATAAATTAAAATAATAATAATTTATGATATTATTTACAACCTATTACAATTTCTGATATATTTTCATGAAAGAACAATATTTTTTCTAACAAAATGGTGCAGCCTTATTTATAAAAAATTTTTTCTCATTTGTATAAATCAAAAATTTCAAATCTATTAAACTAAGTTTACTTAGGATAGATATTTAAGTGTTAATTATAAATAAAATTTATTAGATTTTATTTTTATGTTTATATTCTGTATAAATAAATATATTTATAATCAAAGGATTATATCATTTCAGACATATACTTTTATCCATGAATTTTTATCATTATCTGCATAACCAAAAAAGACATCAAGAATTACTTAAACTTAATAGCTCTTATAGTTAAATGATTTTAACAACTATTTCCTACTTTTCTACAAACTAACATAAGACAATTAATTTTATCCACATGTTTCTTATAAAAATGAAGAGTCAGAAGAACTGCCACAACCATCTCTCATTTTCCAATTGTTTTCAAATATATCATCCTCTGTAAAACTGTAATCTACAAGTCTCCAATTTGAAACAACTTGGTGAACAAGAACAATCAAGAGAATGCAAGATTTTAAATACAAAATCATTAAATGATGGTTAATCTAATAAAAAAAAATATATACTTTAAAGTTACGAAATCAAATAAAATAAATCATATAAAAAATACTAATTCATTATTGTTTTATTTGATTAACAAATATTAGATATAGAAAATATTTATTAAATCAAACTTATATTAAAACACCAATTCTCCATATATCAGAAATTTTGTAATTATAAACTCATTAAGGTAACCTAAATTATTATAGATTATATCAAAAGTCATACATAATATTCAATATCTTTTAATCAAGATTAATTATTTTTAGACAAAATCCATTTATTCTTATTAGTTAATTAGTTCTATTTTTAGAACTAATAAATTAAATAATTATATTTAGCTAAACATCAAATCCTTGAAGACTAAAAATAATAAATAAGAAGATAAATAATAACAATATAATATTGAATAGAAAATCTCATTTTTTTTAGCATTTTTTGATACATTTAAAATTTTTAAGATATAAATAAACAAACTTTTTAAGTCTAATAAATCTTTATGACATTTATTATTAATTATTAATTATTAAACAAACTCATTTTAATAAATAAAAATCCAAATTCATTTTTCTTAATATTTATAAAAAATTTCCACATCGTAGGATTGAACTTAAAAAATATTAGGAATTCATTAATAATCTATTGATATTTTTGAGAAAACTTCTTTCTCCTGTTTCAATCTCTGCCTTTTACATTCCAAATTTCTTTTAATTTTGAGGGTAAAATCTTCCTTTGCATTTAGAAAATTAAAAATAGCAAAAAAGTTAATATTATAGAGTGNAGTATTTGAATTTCCAATAGTACTTACAATAGTTTTCAATTCAAATCTACTTGAACTTGAAGTGTCATTACAAATTCGAATACTATTTTAAGTTAGATCATCATCTTTATAATCTCTTTTATAAAGTTATTATTCATTTTCTGATGCTATATTGCTATCATACAAAACTTTTATCCATGAATTTTTATTATCATCTGCAAAACCAAAAAAGACATCAAGAATTACTTAAACTTAATAGCTCTTATAGTTAAATGATTTTAATAACAATCTCCTACTTTTCTTCAAACTAACATAAGACAATTAATTTTATCCACATGCTTCTTATTAAAATGAAGAGTCAGAAGAACTGTCACAATCATCTCTCATTTTCCAATTGTTTTCATATATATCATCCTCTGTAAAACTGTAATCTACAAGTCTCCAATTTGAAACAACTTGGTTAATAAGAAAAATCAAGAGAATGCAAGATTTTAAATACAAAAACATTAAATGATGGTTAATCTAAAAAAAAAATATATATATACTTTGAAGTTACGTAATCAAAAAAAATAAATCATATAAAAAATACTCATTCATTATTCTTTTATTTGATTAACAAATATTAGATATAGAAAATATTTATTTAATCAAACTTATATTAAATAACCAATTCTTCATATATCAGATGTTAATTTTTCATAAACATTATTTCTAATTATAAACTCATTAATGCAACATAAATTATTATAGATTATATCAAAATTCATAAATAATTTTCAATATCTTTTAATCAAGATTAAGTATTTTTAGACAAAATCCATTTATTCTTATTAGTTATTTAGTTCTATTTTTAGAATTAACTATATTAAACTAAACATCGAATCTTTGAAAACTAAAAATAATAAATAAGAAGATAAATAATAACAATATATTATTGAATAGAAAATCTCATTTTTTAAGCATTTTTTGATATATTTAAAATTTGTAAAATATAAATAAGCAAACTGTTTTTGTTTAATAAATCTTTATGACATTTATTATTAATTATTAAGCAAACTCATTTTAATATATAAATATCAAAATTTATTTTTCTTAATATTTATATAAAAAATTTCTACATCGCAGGATTGAACTTAAAAAATATTAGGAATTTATCAAAAATCTATAGATATTTTTGAGAAAGCATCTTTCTACTGTTTCAATCTCTGCCTTTTATATTGCAAATTTGTTTTAATATTGAGTGTAAAATCTTTCTTTGCATTTAGAAATATAAAAATAGCAAAAAAGTTAATATTATATTTTTGATTAAATACTAAATCAGTTAAACTACAATTTGCTTTGAATTACAATACAAAAACAATAATTTTCTTGAGGTTTTGATCTTAATTTTTTTATTAATAATAGATAGCTAGTGTCTGGTGAAGATTTTTCTTTATTAAGAGAGATTCTGTTTTGTTTTTGTAAGTTTACACTACCTTAAATAATTTACTATTCATTAAATAATAGAAGATAATATCATTTGCGTCATCACATATCAGACTATTTAAAGCCCTTTTTAAATATCTTATTGAATTTATAATGAAAAATTTTTCTATCACTCATTTATACTATTATAAAATTCATAAAATTACTCAGATTTTCAAATATAGAAATTGTAAAACTAGTCAATAAAGACAATTTTTTATTTTTGATAGTTTAGTTTCTTATCAAAGTAGTCTAATTTGTCATATTATTAATGGTATTTTTTTATAAGCATTAATTACTATAATTATTAAAAATTCAATATATTGTTGTCCTAAGCCTGATATTAGTTATTATTAGATAATATTCACAATGATTTACCTAAATTTTGAAAATCAAATGATTTAAGAAATAAATGACAATAATACATTCTCCTAAAAAAATACATTAATATAAGATATTAATATTAATGCAATCTAAAGTCAGCCATATCATAAGAATTAAGCAAACATTTTCACATCCAATATTTTCTTAATTCCTAATTATTAATATTCAGATTTCAAAGGAAAATATGTTTTCCTCTATCACTTAATAATTTACATCAATATTCCTATAAATTTCTTTATATATATATCAAAAGTATTATAATGTACTTATTATTAATTAATATTATTATAATGAAATTTGTTTGGCTTCAAATATTATTAGCTATTTCCTTGATTGTTTGTCAAACCTAAGTTTGCAAAGTAAAATGATATTTAACATAGCTACAATAAAATTATCAAAATCTCTTACAAATGAGTGAGAAAGAAACCTATCTCTTATACCTATAAGATTATTTTTATGGGGATGGACTAACATACATTTTAAATGATAATACACACTACTTTTAACCCAATAATCTTGAAAATTTAGGTGGCATTAAAGGAGAAGCCATAAGTTTAATAATAAAACCAAAGAAAGTTGCATAATAAAAGGAATTTTTGTTATTATTAAAAGTAAATGAAGGAAATTAAGAAACCTATGAAATTCTTAGTTTAAAGAATTTTTCTAAAAAAAAAAAATTTTCTGCAAGTGTTTTTATTGCTAGATTTAATTCTGATCATTGTTGTAATGCGAATTAAATTGACTATTTTTTTATAATCACATGTTTAGACTTAGGATAGTAATAAATAACTTACTTAAATTTTAATTCCGATTATCATCTAATTAACACCTTTGATGTCAATATAGATTATGCACAAAAAGAGTCTAAAATAATTTCAAAATCAGCTGGAAAATATTTATGCACATTAATAAACAATGGAGAGTATTAATATGTCTCACATAATTCAAACTTAATCATTTTTTATTTCCAGAAGACAGAAAATTTTGAAGATTCAAAAATAATAATAAATGTAGTTTAATTAAATTAAATCTAAATTTCAAATGACTATATAACAGGTTTTGATATTGTAAAAGAAGGATATCATAAATATTATTTATAATTTAGTCTTTATTACATATTTTAATTAGGGAATTTACATACATCTTTTAAATTAAGAAAAATAGTATTAATTAGATATTTCATTAAAATAAAGAATTCTAGGTATAAGTGCTCAAAAAATATCATATGGATTTTATGAATATAATATTGTATGTTGGGATGAATAGAAGTTATCTAATTTTTTGTATGATCCATCTAAAAATAAAATTGTAATGAATTAAAATTATTAAGATTTCAAAAGAGAAACTAATATAAACTACTCAAATAAATTTATTACTTAATTTTGTTACTAATGTCTTTATCAATGAAAAGTATATAGTAGTATCAAATCTTAATGGTATAAGCATATATCCAACAATTATAAATGATGTTAATTAAGGCAGATTATTGTACTATTATAAATCGAAATCAAAAATAAGTTACTTCATAAATATTATAGATTATTTAATTTCTATTGAGGAACAATCATTAATTTTATATATGATTAATGATCCAATAATTAAATTAAAAAATATAGAAGTTAAAAAAACTTCCTAGATCTTTTAAATTAGAGCAATATCAAACTAATTTGATAAACCTTAAGTAGAATGCCCAACTGTTATTCTATATTTTTAAGTTTAAAATGAATAATTTTCGAAAAATTCAACAGAATAATATTATGATATTCCTTACGAGGTTTCCTAAACGAATTTTTTTAGGGGATCGTATTAAAATGATGATTAACATCCTAGTAATATAAAAATAAATGTTAAGTGTGATAAATTATAGCAAATTAAATAAAATTAAATTATCATAAGAAACTAATTGGAGATTCAACCTAAATTAAAAAATTTATTAAATCTTGATATTAAAATTGATAAAATTTCTTCAGAATATACGACTAAGGAAAACAATTATTATCTAAGTGATGTGGCTTATTTAAAATAATAATTACTTTATCAATATGATGATAATTATAGATTTAAAGAGAAATTTTATCTTCTTACTTAATAATACTTTAAAATTTAATTAATAGAATGTCTTGTAGAAGATTTCAAAAATTGTGTAATTTTGCATACTCAAAATATAGAAGTTTCAAATAGAATAGAATAGTTTATATTTAATATTCATAATGATTAAGTTTATTTAGGTTTTGATTAAGTATTTGGATGGATAGGTTATGATAATTTAGATTAATTCAATATTAAGGTTTCAAATGTAGTGATATTTAGTTATAAATTGAATGAAAAGAATCGTATTGTTAAAAAATATTAGATTTCCCATTTTTAACATAAGGTCTTATAATTAGAAATCATAGATGATAGAATATATATGCTATATGAAATCAAAAAATAGACTTATATTTTTACTTCTAAAATTAGTGAGATCTATGAAACTATGGATATTCTTGAATTAAGTCACAAAGTAGATTTTTGCAGAGTTTTTTCTTTTAATATAGAATTTTATGGATATTTTTTATATTATTTTACAATTAATTTAGATGAATAGATTAATTACTTGAATATAGTTAATATTGAAGATGGGAAATTTGAATTAATAAATAAGATTATATTTAAAAATTATTAATAATCCATAAAAATGCTTGCTCATTATTGTTGTTTCACAAAAAATGGTGTTTATATTTCTATTGCATAAGAATCGGTTTTATATTTTACTAGATACGATTTTTTTAAAATGGTATTTACTTAATCTAGTGAAAAAAGTTATCAAAATTTTATAAACAACTAGATAAAATTACCAGTCAAATTTGATTAAGCAAATGATGAAGATTAGAGTATTACTTATACCTCTAGCGAAAAATAATATTATATATTATAAAGAGATTATGTAGGTAATTATAACATTTATATTTACAATATGAAATCTACAATTCTTAATTGTATACATTATGTTATATCTGAAGAGATTTTTGAATTTCGTAGGAGAACAATTAGTTCGTTAAAATATGATATTTTTTCACTTAATAAGCTAGAAAATGGCATTTGGAAGTTGCAAAGTTCATAAATTTAATACATAAAACGTGAACCTTTGATTACTATTAATTGCTTATAAACTAAGGTAATAAGAAACCACAGATCTATCAAAATTCCATTTGTGATATAAACAGAAAATCTGAAACCTGAATAATATCCAATATATAATTTGATAATAGATCTTGAATTTGATGATGAAGACTAAACAAACAATCAAGAAAGTTAAATAGATTCTACTTTGAGAAAAATATTTGATATGATAAACTAGAAATTAGATTGAATCTATCTTTATCAAATTCAGTACATTTTTATATTTTTAAAAAGATATATATTTTATTATAAATTTATATAATAATAATACAATTCATTAATATAATATTTCATAAGTTTCATATTTGCTATTCTTGCCTCCCCAATATGTTAAATATTATCCATTACTTGTTATTGCTCCATAACAACCTTAATTTTAAATATCCAATTCTTAAATAATTATCAATTTGCCATCATCTTGTACTTTAAGTATACAAATATGGAATACATGTCTTAAACATATAAGATTTTTATCTTTATTATAAATAATAGGGAAGAATGCCCAATTTATTAATCCTTTATTATCTTTTTTAAATTAAACTCTCTTCTCTTTATTCTCTTAATAAACACCATTTGTATATTCAAATACACAAACATAATTACTCTTATATGCTACCCAAATGAATTAATTTTCTTTTAAAAACTTAACATGCCTTCCTTATTCTTATATAGTATTAATAACAACCTACTAACACTCCCACTAATCATTAATACTTTTTTGCCAAATTATGATTGTCCCATCATACCCACAAGAAACTAATACATTTCCTGATTAATTTAAACTTAATGACACAATAGGAGTAGTATGTTTTTCTAAAGAATAGAGAAATTACAATTCATTATTATTATAATCTACCCTCCATACTTTAATTGATGTATCAGTACTACCAGAAACTAGCTAATCTTCTTTTTCTGTTATGATCATACAATAGATAAAATCTTAATGTTCATAGCATGGTTTAGAACTTTACCATTTATTAATACCATCTAATTATTTCCATAATCTAATTGAATTATCACGAGATCCAGAAAAAAAACAATTTTTAAACTTACTATATATTAAACTATAAACAGCCCCTTAATGTCCTTGAAGTGTATCTGTTAATGTGATTTATCCATGATCAAAATTCCATATTTTAATCTCATTATCACTTGTTGAAACCATTATTTTTCCTGTTGGATCAAATGCAATAGCTCTGCATTTTTCTTTTTATTCTTTAGAATCATTAATAAATTCTAATTATTTTGGACTTAATTAAAATTATTATTGAATTAACTTTTAAGATTCTTCTATTCTATTCAATATTTCAATACAATTTTGATACTATGGAAATGTTGTGAATGATGTTAACCAAAATTTACTTTTATTGCTCCTGGCATTGTTTAATGATGTAATCTAATTAGATAAATCTAACTTATCATTTTTATTTGAATATTAATTTAGTATTATTGAATCTAATTCTTTGAATAAGCTATATTTTGAGTATTATAAAACTATAGATTATAAGTTATCTATCCAATCCTTTATATTTCTTAGTAATTGATCTAATTATAAAACTAGTTAAGACTTCAAGTTGATGATTTGATTTTTTAATGATTCAACATTAATGATTTCTATATTAATCATATTTTCTAAGAATTCTTAAAATTCTTACCGATTTTTTTCAATCATTTCAATAGCTTTCTAAAATCCAATAGAGTTTGATTTCTGTTTCATAAATGCAATGCATTCTTAACACAAAAGCTTTTAATTTAATTTTAAACTAGGATCTAAATCTATCATTAAAACAGGTTATGAATGGTTATTTTAACAAAAAAGATCTTTTTCATTTTCTATCATTCTTTGTTTTTACATTATAATAAAATTGAAATTTGAATGAAATTATCTAATTTTTACAAAATTATGATACTATTTGTTATGAAAAAACAACTAATGAGTGAGTTCAACAATCTTATTAAATATAATTTAAGTTGTACATAAAATAAAATATTCATATAAATAAATTGAATCTATTTATATTTAGTTTTTAGAACTCTATTTGAACTAAATATTAACTCATTTTTTATAAGCTAAAATGAATAAATTAAAATTTTCATTAGTTAGAGCTAGATATGANTCAAATTGTGTAAAATAAAATTGAAATTATCTAAACTATGGATTAAATGATAAATTAAGTTGATAATTGGATGGGTGATATATAATAGTTAGAGTAGAAGTAATACTCTTACAAGTTTTTAGATGAAATAGATAAATTAAATCACTTTGTTGAAGTAGTAAAAAATAATTAAATTAATGAATTTAAAAACGTTATATTCACCTTTAACGAAGCCTATGAAAAAAAAATCTAACCTTTAAAACTATTATTGCATGAGTAATTGCTTTTGGCTTAAAATACTTTAAGATTACATACATCTAATGTTTCATTTAAGCGATTGAATTCAAAAAATGATGTAGAAACAAAACAAATAACTAGATGTAATTCTAATTAGTTTAAGAAATTAAATAAAAAGATTGGTGCCATGCATTAGCATTCAATTATGATGAATCCATAATGGCAGGGAGTATTGATAAAAGCATTAAACTATGGAAATTTTAATAAGGATAATTGTAGGATAATAATATAGTCTTAGATGGTCATGAAAATGTGATTAAATGTATTGTATTCAGTAAAAAAAATAATTGGTTTTTCTCTGGAAGTGAAGATAACACGATTAGAAGTTGGAAAGAAAAATAAGGCTGGTTTTCTTCTAATAAATGGGAGAGTGTTAAAGCTATTAAAGCACATTAAGACTGGGTAATTTAATTAATATTAAATGAATAAAATAATGAATTGATATCATGTAGTGTAGATAAGACCATTAAAATATGGAGAGTTTCTTATGATTCAAATTCAATTAAATTTTTAGAGTCTCTTGAAATACATTAAGAATAAATATTATCAATTAGTTTAAATTAATCTTAATAATAATTAATTTCTTGGGGAGAAGACAAATAGGTAATTTTATGGGAAAAGAATTAATAATAAAAATGGTAATTTAAAAATAAGATCTTATTATCAATCCAAGAAATAAATAGAGGTGCTAGATTTCTTATGGATAATTAAATTATATGTAAAACATCAAAAGGATAAATAGAAAACTATATTTTAGAAAAAGATAAATATCAACAAAAGCAAGTATTGGATTTTAATGTTGAAAATCCAGATTTTAATCCATAAGAATGTTAAATTATTTTTAATATTTAAACATAATTAATAGTAATGAAACATCATAAATATTTTTATTTTTTTAGAAATAATTTGGATGAATGTAAATTTGAATAAGTTTGCAAACCTTTGGAATGTCAAAAAGAAGTTTGTTTTTTTAATATTACAAATGATGGTAAATACTTAGTTTTGTGGATTTGGTATCCTGTATTAAGATTTAAAATATATGAATTGATTTATAGTAATTAGTATTGATGATAATAAAATGATATTTTTATTTAAATATTTATCATAAGCTTTCCCAAATAGAAATAAAAACTTAAAAGTTTTAATAATAAATAAGTCTAAGTTAAAAGCTTTCATTTCTATATTAATTATAAATTGATTTATTCTATATTGTAAAAGAGAGATGAATTTAGAAATTTATTCATTTGTGAATTCAATATTTATAACATCAACTAATCTATAATAAATTTAGAGAGTATAATTATTCAGATGAATGTTTTTACAAATAATTAATAAAATTATGATTCCATAATTAATTAAATATTAAGAATGGATACGTATTTCAACACTTAATTTTCAATTAATTATAAAATCCTAATCTATTTGTATCTTATTAAATATTAATATTTACATCTATTATACTTTGATTCAAAAATATAATTTCTAGATTTTTGAATATGAATCTAAAATAAAAGAATTAATACTTTACAAACTATAATTTTATAATTGGCCATAATCTAATCAACTCATGTTTATTTTAATCTATTATTAAATATATAAAGTAGACTGTTTAAAATAAATTATAACTTTTTCATTTCGATTTCAACACCATATATAATAATATTGTTCAATTAAATCCAGGATTAAAAAAAAGTATGCAAAATTTGGATTATATGAGGGAAAATCCACTTTGAATTTAATTATTTCTATTAGCAAGGATTATTTCTTTCAGTTAATTTAGATTGCTATTTAACAAGAACACCGAGATAACTCTAAAATACTTAGTCATTGCCTAATAGTTTATTTACACTTATACACAAGAAACTTTAGACATTTGGGATATTTAACAACATTATTTTTCCTAATTATTAGATTCATTTATCATATTATTAAGAGTATTGATCACTTGGGATTATAATCAAAGATATATACACATATGGTCTCTATCTAAATGATTTGATAAGATATTGTTTATAATATATAAGTAGATTTATATTTAATATATAAGTAATAATTTTAATCATAAAATACAAAATATAATATCTTATTCATCTTTTATTAGATTCATATTCTTCAACATTATTAAAAAATACTTTTTCAACACCTATTCTACTTGATTTTGTACTTAAAATTCTTGAACTTTGTGGAGATATTATTTATCTATAAATAATATTTTGTTAATATTTACCTTGAATTTCTCAATTATACTTTTGATAAAAAGATTAAATGGTTCTTCAATTTGGCAATGTTATACTTAAGTTTGTTTTATCTTAATTTTTCTTTTTCCAAAAACTTACCTAAAATTATTGCGAAATAGAAATTAGGTACTTTCAAATTAAGAAAGAAATGTAATTTATTTAAATAAAAGAATTGATACTTTTTAAAATAGTTTCTTGCAATTCCAAAAACAAAAGGGTAACAAAGTTTGATAAAGCATCCAATAATAAAAATTTGAATCAGAATAGAAGGGAATATATAATTTTTCTATTCACAAATACTTTTAGTAAGTGCTAAAAATATAGAAATTGAGCAAATTTGAGCTGTTTATAAATCTAAAGAATTATATTTTTAAATAGTAAATGGTTTATTGAAAATTGCCAATATTTAATATATTAATAAACCCAATCCTAATAATGATGCTTTTAAAACAATTTCAGTTTCAAAATTTGTCATAATAAAAATAATAATTGATTTTTTAAATAATTTGATTAATTCCCAATAATATCTTTCTTATTTATATTCATTTAATAAATAACAAATATGTTTCCTTAGTTTAATTTTATCTAACTTATTTTTGTTTAACATCAATAGAATATAAATAAAAATAGGAATAAATATACCAATTATAAATATACCAGGAATAATAAAATAATACATCCACTTTTAATGAATTTATGAACCATATTATAAGGAAACATCTCCCTAAATGTAATTGTGATTTGATACTTCTCGTTTCGAAAGCGCAGATGAAAACCTTTTCATTTTAAATATTATACATTTTAATCAATCCTGCGTAATTAAATACATACAAATAAAGTGCAGTGTTTGAAAAGATACTTATATCATGCTTTTGTTTTGTTATTAAAGTATGTAAATATGCTCCTGCAATAACTAGATTAAATAGTATAATCATTAATATTAACATTGTGAATATTTTTAAATATAAAATATGAACACTTTAAATAGAAGATATATAACAGTCTAAATCCTTAGCTATGAAATATGAAGTATCACTTGTTTATTCAATAAAAAAAAGAGAAAATGAAAATCTTATATTAAATGTAAAAATGACTGAATAAATCCACAAATAATTGATCAACATTTTAATTATATGCTTTATTGATCTAATGTAATTTTATTAAATATTATTTACCTTAATTTAAATAATATTTTTTTAAATCTTTAAGCAATTATTAGTTATGAAAATAATTAATTAGATTCAGAGATGCTTCTTAATGACATTAATATAGATATAAAAGTCCTATCATTAATAAAAAAAAATATACCAAAGACTTATTAGCATAAATGGAAATATACTGCTCCAATCAAATTAACATTTTCTACAATGTTAATCCCATTAGTTTTTATAAAAATTACCTTATCCTCTTATGTTATACATATCACACTCTTCACATAAAGCACCTATATGTCCAAAACTTCATGTTTATCACCAACCTACAATCCTCCTATACAAAATCATGGATTTTTGAAACAAGGTTCTACATAATCAGAAAAATTATTAGGTCTCCAAAATCCTGGGAGTAATTTAATCATATTTGAGTTAATATCATAGTACTTACTTTTATCAAATATAGAACATGTATGTAACTGAATAATAAACTTAATTAGATTAACATATTTGACATCCATTATTAACAAAAAATTCACCAAGTTAACATTTCAGATTCTTTGTATATATTCTATATTTTAAAGTATTATTTGATTCTTTTAATTAACAACTTATATCAATTTATAAATAATTGTACACTTATTTATATGGATCTAAACTAAATGATAGTAATGCAAAATCAAAAGAATTTGTTAAAATATCAAAGATTTAAATCTGACTAACTTATTTGTCTACTATTTCTTGTTTGTCTTTTGTTATTATTTTATTCTAAACCGTACAAGATAATTGATATACTTATGCATTGCTTCATTTCTACTGTTTTTATAATTTAAAACAATATCTTTTATAAAAGGTTTATATTTTGATTAATGAATGTTAAAAATTTTTAAAGTTTTTATATTCTAATTACTTGAAATTAATAAATCTTTCATAAAATTTAAGTACCTTATTCAATCATTCTGTAGGTTTTTAAATATAATAAATTTATTTATTAATTGTTTATATTAACAAATTGTGAAGGATTCTCCATATAATTAATGAAAAAAGCTAAATGAGTTGGTGTCTTTATGATATTATTCCCATATTCTTAAGCAGTGTTGAAAAGTAATAAGAATGATAAAAAATTATTAGTATTTAGATTGCAGTTACCATCTAAATATATACCACCTCCTATTCTAGCTATATTTCCTATAATGATTGTTCTATTAACAATAAAATCACAAGATTCAAATTACATATATAAACCTCCTCCCAAATCCTCAGCATTATTGTTAATTAATTTGCATTATTTAATTTTTAGACTTACTTTTTATGAAAATATACAAATACCTTGAGTACTAAATGATAAATATAAAAAAAAACAAGTATTAGATTTTAATGTTGAAAATCCAGATTTTAATCCATAAGAATTTTAAATTATTTTTAATATTTAAACATAATTAATAGTAATGAAACATCATAAATATTTTTATTTTTTTAGAAATAATTTGGATGAATGTAAATTTGAATAAGTTTGCTAACCTTTGGAATGTCGAAAAGAAGTTTGTTTTTTTAATATTACAAATGATGGTAAATACTTAGTTGTGTGGATTTAGTATCCTATTTTAAGATTTAAAATATATGGATTGATTTATAGTGATAAGTATTGATGATAATAAAATGATATTTTTATTTAAATATTTATCATAAGCATTCCCGAATAGATATAAAAATTAAAAGTTTTAATAATAAATTAGTCTAAGTTAAAAGCTTTTATTTCTATATTATTTATAAATTGACTTATTATTAATATAGAAATGAAAGCTTAATTTTGAAATTTATTGATATGTGAATTCAATATTTATAACATCAACTAATCTATAATAAATTTTAAGAGTATAATTATTCAGATGAATGTTGTTAAAAATTATGATTCCATAATTAATTTAATAATTAATTAAATTTTAAGAATGGATACATATTTCAACACTTAATTTTCAATTAATTATAACAAACCTAATCTCTTTCTATATTATTAAATATTAATATTTACATATATTATACTTTGATTCAAAAATATAAGTTCTTTGTTTTTGAATATGAATCTAAAATGAAAGAATTAATACTT